TAAGCCTCCTAGGTTTCTTAATTTAACTAAACACCTCCAACAAAAAAAAGTTTTTAAATTAACAAAAACACCCTCACCCATCCACATTTGCTAGATTCTGGCCACCACTATCGGAAAGTAGTCGAAATCTAGCTTTATGGCATATTACTGACTAGATTTGGCCGGTAGTGCACCGATCTAGCCTTTTCCAGCTAGATCTACTATGGATCTAGCCAGGAAAGACCAGATCTATAGCCAAAGGTCTAGCCATTAACGGCCAGATCTTTGGCAGTAGCTGGTTATCAATGACGACCATATCTTTGGCCGTCGTTGACAACTAAATATGGCTAGATCTAGCCTTTTCCAGCCAGATCTACGATGGATCTGGCTGGAAAATGTCACATTGGTGCACGACTGATTGCACAATCAGCCAGACCCAATCTGTCGTACGTCATTACGGCAACTTCCGATCACCCTCTAGCGGTGATGGCCGGTTGTCGACATTTAATGGGTGGGTGGGTAAGGGTGTTTTTATTAATTTTTAATGTTTTACTGTAGGGGTGTTTAGCTAAATTAACAAACCTATGGGGTGTTTTTGTTCATTTTCAAATTCTACCTCGTAATAACTACCCAACTCAATTTTTTCAAAAATCCTACCCAAAATAATAAAACAAACACAACCTTAGATTCTGCAAATATTTAGGCTGTGTTTGTTTCCCTATTCAAAATACTATCCTATCTAATCCTATTCAAAATACATATATTTGTTTCAATATTCTCAAAATACAATCATATTCTATTCGACTCCTCCAACAATAAAAAGCTTATAAATTGATAAAAATACCCCCACCCACACACATATTCCTGATAGCCGGCCACCATCGCCGGAAGGTAGCCAGAATATGCCAGAATGGCACACGACCAGCTGGATGTGGCTAGTGGTGCACCGATCTGGCTTTTTCCGACCAGATCCACCATAGATCTGACCAACAAAGGTCAAATCTATGGCCAAAGATCTAGCCGTGGACGGCCATATCTGGCCATATCTGGTTGTCAACGATGGCCAAGATATGGTCGTTATCAACGGCCAGATGTTTGGCTATAGATATGGTCGAAAAAACCTATATTGGCGCACTATCGGCCAAATCCAGCTGGTCGTACGCCATTCTAGCGACTTCCGACCACCGTTCGGCGGTGGTGGCCGACTACTAGTATTTAATGGGTGGATGGGGGTGTTTTTGTTAATTTTAAAACTTTTATTGTAGGGGGTGTTTAGCTAAATTAACAAATGTAGGGGATTAAAAAATAATCTTTTAGAAAATGCTTTCAAAAAATTTAGGCTCCGTTAGGTTCACTTTTTTACACTTTTTGGAAAAGTCTTTTGAAAAAAGCTAAAAAAAAAATTGAATTGGGCAGGTATTACGATGTAGGATTTGGAAATTAATAAAAATACCCCCTATGTTTGTTTATTTACTAAACACCCCTATAATAAAACATTAAAAGTTAACAAAAACACTCTCAACCCACCCATTAAATATGGACAGTCGGCCACCATCACCGGAGGGTGGCCGGAGTCGTCGTATCGACGCATGACCGGTTGGATCTTACAGGTCGTGCGCCGATATGGCCTTTTCCGACCAGATCCACGATAGATTTGGCCAGTAAAAGCCAGATCTATGGCTAGATCTGGCCATTGACGGCCAGATCTGGCCGTATTTGCTCGTCAATGACGGCTAAAGATACGGTCGTCGTTGATGGTCAACGATGACCATGTGTTGGCCGTCGTTGATGACTGGCTACGGCAAAAGATCTAGCCGTCAACGGCCAAATCTTTGGCCTTTAGATCTGGCCGTCAACGGCCAAATCTTTGGCCTTAGATCTGGCATTTTCTTGCCAGATCCATCATGGATCTGGCCGAAAAAGGTTAGATCGGCACACTACCGGCTAGATTCAGCCGGTAGTGCGCCATTATACCAGATTCCGGCCATTTTCTGACGTTGGTGGCCGGAATCTGGTAAGTATGGGTTGTTGGGGTTTTTTTGCAATTTCTAAAAAAATATTTAGGGGTATTTAATTAAATTAACAAATTTAGGGGTTTAAAAAAGTTGAATAATATTGTGAGTTTTTACAATTTTACTGTTTAACTTTATTGGGAATACTAATAATAGTATTCCCAAATGTGAGCCAAACGAAGTCTTACCAAATACATTTTCAAAATCAAATCTTATTCTCGTAATAACAACCCAATTTAACTTTTTCAAAAATATTACTCCGAATACTCTACCAAACACAACCATTTATCATATCATTCTTCCAAAGGCTGAAATACATTTTTTACCCTAACCTTTTGTGAAAGTAACAGTTCCCCTCTAGGTTTCAGAAACACCTAGGCTTCGTTTGGTTCACATTTTTGCGTTTTTGGGAAAAGTTTTTTTTAAAAAGTTAAAAAAAAAGTTGAATTGGGCGGGTATTACGATGTAGGATTTACAAATTATAAAATACCCCTTATATTTGTTTATTTACAAAACACCCCTATAGTAAAACATTAAAAGTTAACAAAAATACCCCCAACCCACCCTCAAATACGGACAGTCGGCCACCACCACCGGAGGGTGGCCAGAGTGTCTTTGCAATTTCTAAAAAAAATATTTAGGGGTGTTTAGTTAAATTAATAAATTTAGGAGGTTTAAAAGAAATTGAAAATATAGAATAATATTTTGAGAATAATGACATTTTACTGTTTAACTTTTTTGGGAATACTAATAATAGTATTCTTAAAACTGAAACAAACGAAGCCCTAGTTTTAAGGTTTGAATTCGAAAAAATGGGAGTAACATTGGGCGTTTCTGAAACTAAGACAGGAGAATTATCCTTTTTCTGATAGATTGGGGTTAAACGTCATTCAATCTTCTTTGATACAATAATATATATGATAATGTAGTACTAATATCAATTATGAAATGAAACTCCATTTATTAATGCAAGTAAAGTAATGGATTTTCTTTTCACTGCGAAATAAATGAAAACAAGGGCAACAGATTGCTGCAGAGCAACTCATTTTACCAGCTCAGTTAATATGCCAACTTTGAACCAAAACTTCTTAAAAAAAACTGTGAAAATACTGGATAAGAGTAAACCCTCAACGATAAAAGTACTTTAATTTATTATATACAGAGTCTTGATTCTCCATAAACCACTATTATATATGAAGATTTGACCAAAACTCTGAAATTTGAGAACATCTTAATTGGACTCAGAAAATAATGTAAAAAACTAGCCAATTAAAACTAAAACCATTACTGTACGCATTCAAAGCTTATGATATTGTAGTTGAAAATGAGATTAATTACAAAGAAGAAGGAATCGAGGTAATATATTGAAATGAAAATGAAGAGAGTTTAAAAGAAAAGTCAAAAAAGACAAGACAAAGAAGGCAAAGGAATTGAATGTTGGTGACGTAGTTGTTGCATGGAGCGTGCCTCATTTCCCGTGACTTGGATCTTTCAACATTACCAACTACTTATATTTAACCTTTTTGTGTGTTTCTTGCTTGACGTAATTTTAAAGCTAAAACTTTCATTAATTAATTAATTAACACCAACCCCGCCCTTTGTTTTATTTAATAATTAAGCCGCTGTTTTAATTTAATTAGTTTATGTTTCTGGGTAGAATCCATGGCATATTTAGTGGAAACAGGGAACTGAAAACTAAGCCATTTATTGTTAATAAAACAATGCTTTGGAAAAGGTTTTTGTCCCCTCTGTGCTTTGACCCATTTGGGGCTGTAATTATTATTCCAGAAAATTAATGAAATTAATCCAATAATGTAAAAGGTTGAAGAACATGGATTGGTTATTAAGGGAACACTGCATGAGATAGATGAATACTGATGTTTCTGCAAGTACACAAAAACATTAAAAACAATTTTAAAAAAACAAATAAAATTGTGAAAAAGAAGAATGCGTTGATCAAACGGTTTCAGCAAATTTCACATAATCTCACTAAGGATCTGGTCGCAATGCATGGTCCATGGTGACTGTAAATTTACTTGCAATTTTCTTTTTCTTTTTTTAAATTATGGATGTTCCATCTTCAATTTACTTAAATCGACTAAACAAGTAACGAGTGAAAACGAAAATGAAAAATATTTTTTCGGGAAAAGCAAAGTCAAAGAAAACAGTGGTGTCATCGAAACGGCGCAACACATGCAAAATGAAGGCGACGTTGGCCACACGTGAATCCATTATTGTTTGATGTTGGGTCCCTGACCCTCCCTCCTCCTTCCAACACTCCCCACGTGCGCCTTCTTTAACTTACAGAATGTGTTGTGTTTTTGACAATCCCGATGCTTAACCTTATTAAATCAAATTAACAAATCCTACACTTGCGCCTTCAGGTTTGGAAACAAAAATATTTAATTAAAATTTCTAATGGGGGTGGGTTTTTACTGGTGGTGGTTGAGAAGAGAATCCCTGTTGATGATGAGAATCTGCTTCTGTTTTTGCTGCTGTCGTGTGCAAACTGAAAACAAAACCAAAGAGGTAATTAGTCAAAATTTAATCAAAGATTTCTCATTGACAATGACATTTGACAAAGATTTTGAATGGATTTATCCAACTATTTGTTACACCTTTGTCAAAGAGTTTAGCTGGTAGCATTGAATTAATTACCCTTTTTTATTTTATTTTTCTGTGTAGCTTGAGTTAGTAACATTTTTCTCATTCTCAAACAACAGAGATTTGGTAAAAATGACAACCATTAAATATACAGAATTGAAAATGACTTGACATAAGTTCAGCCATTTATATGGTATTTCTTTCAGGTTTTTTCTCATTGTTAATCATAAATCTGCTATTTGAAGTGACAAAGAAAAAATTATTTCATTTCTGAATCAAAGTTACAGAACAAAAGGCTAGTGTTACTTGGAAGATACTTTTAGTACATAGGCCATATCCTACAAACATCTAAGTATAGACAGGCTTTGCCTGCAAAAGGAAAAAGAGTAGAAACAACCAAAAAAAAAAATTGAGTGGCCTATATGATAATGAAAGGAAGTTTCAGAAGCCAACTATTAATTTAGAGAAATTAAAAGAAACAAGAGTTTCATGGAGGATTTAGCTAGAACGTCCAAAAAATGGAGCAGAGCAAGAAGCTAAAAAAAAGTCAGCAGGGAACAAAAGATTCAATCAACCAGCTGTACAATTGAAACCGTACTTTAGTCCTTTACTCTATACTCCTACATTGTCACTGCTTGAATCCATTAGAATTGTCAACCTCCTAGCTGTTTTCATGAAGTCACTGCAACAACAAAAAGAAACTAATCAAAACACAATATTTTCTGGGGATATGTGTCATTTCAAAAAGAAAGGCAAATGAATTGCTACCTGAATGGTTCATCTCCAATATGCTTGACTGCACCTGTAACATCTCGGTAGAGAACATGGCTAAGTGTCTCGGAATTTTCTATACCAAACATGTCAGCAAGCTTTCTGTACAATTCATTATAAGACGTGAGTAACGAGAGGTCAAGAGTGCGACCTACATCCTCTGATTCCATGAAAACTTTACAGTGACCGGTCTCCAAGTTGGGTTCGGATTCTTGGTGATTATCTTTATACCAGTGGAACCCTTCACAGAATGTGCGCTCGGGTAGGCCTTGTTGATGAATTGCAGATCCAGAACCATCGGAAAAATTTGCCATCTTATCTAAATTTCCTTCCGATGAACTATTTCCAGTAAGAACCGGTGAAACTGTATCACCAGAGCAGCTGAGAGACATTTGCTGCTCCGTTAGTATTGGTTGGCCAAAAAGTACAAGCTGGGGTGTCTTTACATCATCAGTTCTTTTTGAAGTCTGGGTAGAATGTGCCATGGTTAGCAAGCAAGAAACATTCTCACTCATGCTAGGCTTCTGGATGATTGGGCTATTGGAGGCTCTCATGGTTGCAGCAGCACGATCAAGTGGTGGGAAACCAGCTGTAAACAGACTTGACTGTAGTTTATTGAGGTGGAGATCCGTTATGGATAGACCATAGTGAGCATGCCTGGCTCCCTGCATGCCAGCAGGAGTGTTATCGGGTAGACACCCAAAGGGGCTGTTCGGCCCAAGGAGGTTGCCAGAAAATGTTGGCATTTGCAATTGGCCATCAAGGGGGAAATCTGGGTGTTGTGGCAGTCTCGACTTCTTCCTTGGTGGTGAGAAGGGGGATAGATGGATCGCGGGCATGTTTGATACCAATTCCACCAGCCACGGATTGACACGCTTCACATTTTGGAGCAAATCAGGCTCGTCCCAAGTAACCTGCACCACATGAACTTCAACAAATTAGAACACATTGTCAAAAAGGGCAACCAAAAATCCAGAAAAAGAAATTAAGGAAACAAAAATTGATATTGAAGGCAAGACTCTACTAAAAAGGGAATTAAAACAAAAAGAGAGAAGAAAATCTTCCAGATATAGGATTTATCAAAACTAAATACCAATTTGAAAAATGTCAACCAAGAAAAGCAAATGTGAACACGTCTTCAGAAATATTTGACGGGATCTGGAGAAAAATCAGAAAGTTCATAAGTATACAATTAGTAACCTAATCCGATTGAACAGATTATACCTTTCAGTATACAGTTGAAAAAGAAAGTTATGTTGGAGTGGCATCATGAATCTTGCCTAGACAAGACCCAAATATAATGACATATATTAAAAGCTATACCACATATTGCTTAATAAGGGATAAAAACTAGTTATCCTAGACAACTTCAGTCAGCAAATCCATCTTAAGTCCACATTCATATTCAAAAAGATCAGTGTGAACCAATGCATTAATAATCCGGGAAATAACAGAGCAAAGAAGAAGGAGAAAAAAAAACAGCAACTTTCTGTGAACAGATGGAACTTAGCAAAGAAGAACAGAAGTGAAAATAAAATTTAATTACTGACCTATAGTAAATCGAATTGTTAGCAGAGTATTTGGAATTCAAAAGTTTCAGTGGAACCAGAAAAAAGTTGTAAAGAATAATAACAAGAATGACAAAAGAATTTCACAAGCATATCCCAAATTTCATGGTATCTATTTTATGCGGATTGCTGATCAAGAGAGATGACTTTACCTGGAGAAGCCTCCAAGGTGAATCAGGCCAGTATAGTGGATCAGAAACCTGAACAGAAGATATAGTTCCCATAAACCAACTTATTCGTGAAGAATCCTCCGTTTCAAAGGCCATCTTAAACCTCATTCCAGAACACCACCGGATCTGCAATGCTGCTTTCACCATTGAAGCCTTCACACAAAACTCCGGTGTACTGGCTCGAGGGTAGTACACAACCTCGAAGGGCTGCCTACCGACAGCAAGCGTTGCAGCTTCAATAACAGATTCAGGCCTCATTTTCCCCTTCCCCATCAAATTATTCCCGTTATTCGAATTTGATCCATTAACATTTCCATTACAATTTCTCATTAACTTATTATCATCCTCCCTCAAAAACGCCGAAAACCCTCCATAAGGCGCAACACAGTTTCCATTCCACCCAGAAGACACCTCCGGTCCACCTCCAATCCCTCTCTTTGCACGGCGAATTCCAACGCAAAGATCCCCATTCTCCGCCCTCAAAAACACAATTGAATCTCCCGCAACAAGCTTCTTGTGATTCACAAAAGTACTCCACCCAGTTGTCAACAAATGCCTCCTAGGTGTCCCTCTATAAATATGCCTAAATTTCCATGTTTCACCATGAACATCCTTAGCTAGAATGGTTTGTACAGGGGGATCAGCAGAGTAATCTAATCTGGGAAAGATTGTCTCCGCACAATACCTTGGAACAGAAAACCCTCCACCGTTATTAGCATCTGACTGAGTCAAGGTCTTCGCAAATGATGCAGGTTTATCTTGTGTTTCAGTGTTATGAATTCCAACAATTCCATCATCATCAAAATCAGGTTCATTACTAACTGGAATCAACTTAATTTTTGCAAATACCTCATCAGTTTCAGGATCAGCCATGAATTTGATAGCTAAGACTCTACAGAGTACATAAGGTGGAATTCTTTGGCAGCTCCTGAAATCAACCGGCCCACAGGCGTGCTCTGCATGCCCTTGAGGAAAGTAAAAGACTTTCGAGTTCACTGGGGGCATTTGCACCATGCCTCCGGCACAGGCGTGCCATAACTGAGAGTCTAAGCACTTGTCAACCTCTTTTATTTTCTCTTTTGACTCCATAAAAGTAATCATCTCCACCACTGCTGCATATATTAAAATCCCTTCTTCTTTACCTCACTTGAAGAACACTGCACAAACCAGATAGGTTACCAAATTAGACATTTTAGGGACTCAATTAAAAAAACCAATGATGGGTTCAAAGTAATGAAGTAAACTCATGTAATTCTTACCTTATAAAAATAATTTGGAATCTTTATGCCATATCTCCGCAGAAAGTGAAAGAGCCCAAAGATACATATATATTATAATACACCAAAACCAGCAGCCAGAGATGAAAGTTGTAATTCCATATACTCTCAACATTGCCAACCAAAAAATCCTTCAATAAACCTTCATATATCTTTTAATTCTTCCTTGAAACTTCAGTAAGTGAGTTCTGGCTTCACAAAGTTAAAGAAAAAAATCTTGCTTAATCAACCAAACACAGCTACAAAATCAAAAGATCTACCCACAATTCCTGACTGACTCACTTATATATCAGTAACTAACTAAACACAAATCACGGCCTTGAAAATCTCCTCAAAATCAGTTAATAAAAATCCCTTTTGAAGATGAATCTTTTCGTTGGCGTTGTTCAAAGATTCAATCAAAGCAGATAGAAAGAGCGCACACAACAACAACACTCACACTCACAAGAAGGCACCTTTTCGGATCATGCAAGAGTCCAAAAGCAATACCCTTCTTAACAAAGAAAACGAAAATTCAATCAAAATATAAGCTTGATTAGTACTAATCACAGTTATTAAGTGCTGTAGTAATTAATTGTACTACTTTTTCTGGTTCTGCTTTTGTTGGTTTATTGTATTTATTTATTTTTATTTTTACCTTTTCTTCGGATCTGAAGAAACTCTGTGTATCTTCAGAAGCCAGCAAAACAACAAAGATCTTTAAGGAACCATTTATTTTATTTTATTTTTATTAAAGTATCTATTTATTAATTCTCTTTCTCATTATTTTAACCCATTTTTTATCATGCAAAACTGTTGCTTTCCTTATCGCGATACTTTTTTAAAGTCTCGCGAGATTATTGGGTCTCCTTAATGCAAAATAAGGTAGTCGTTAACCAGACAAGTTAACTGTGGTTAATAACTAGAACCAGGGTTAACGTACTGAGTTTACAAGTTAACTAAAACTGTTTTTTGTTGGCATTTTGTAGAGAGGAAATGTTTTCTGCTCACCTAACTCTCCTCAAGGCGAGTGGCAACACTCCAAAATTAGATAATTCTTTTTTTTAAATATAATAATACAAATTCAATTTCCCTTTAAGTAAGCAACGCAATGTTATAAAGACATTGTATGACAAAATTGAAATAAAAAACGTATTTTATTCCCTCAAACCTCATGTTAAATATTATTTAATTTTAAATATTATAAAATATAGATAGTAATAGTTTTAATAACACAAATTCATTTTAAGCTAACTCCAAGTGATTGGTGCAGTCAATGAGATCACTCATTTTTTTAGTTTTTTTATTCAAATCTTGGGCTATCTATCTATTAATATTGTGGTTTATTGGTCTTTTAAATTTATAAGATGTTTAATGAATTTTAGAATTAATTAAAGTATGCACAAACTGTCCGAACACGCCGGTTATTAAAAAAAAATTCATTTCAAGTTAAAAGGCAATAATGTCTTGTTCTTATACATGCCATGTGTCTCATAAGTCTTAAAATGTATAGATAAAATTAGATGAAATTAATATCACAGAATATAAGAAATTGGTTAAAAAAATTAAATTAAAGCTGAATAAACAAAGGATAACTAAAAAATTATTCAAAAATATAAGGATCTAGAAGAATTTAAGCTCTATTTTTTTATTTGAATTGATATCAACTTGTAAATTTAGTAATTATATAATGGAATTAAAATCTTATCCAAATGAATAATAATTTGATAAGTCAAATTCTAAACACCGAAGAAAACTTGGCAAGTAGTTTTGTTATTAGTTCGTGAAACTTTTGTTCTTGAAGAGCGCGTGGGGCTTATATGATGTCCATTTGTTGTGTCCGGTTGAGGGAAAGCCGCCCGTGGTGACTTTCTAATTGTCTATTATCTCAGTAAGTTAAGTCTTGCGTCTTGACTCTTGAGGCTCAAAAGTAAAACCAAATCTGTTTGGTTTCTCTTCGGTCAGTTTCACTTTGCTTTTACAACGTCGTGGGTTTAGACCATCCAAATTGGGTAATGTTACAGCTACATCATTCTTTTACACAATTTTATTATATCATGATATGACATATATCACATCATATAAATTTTTAATTATTTTAAATTTTAACATAAAATTTAATATTATAATAAAATTATGTGATTATAACATATGTCACATCATGATGTTACAAAATGGTGAAAAAAATAGTGTAAATGTAGCATTACTCATCCAAAATTTCCCCAAAAGTTAAAAACACAAATGTTGTTAACTCTTAATTTTAAATGAATTTTAAATATAGGTCTTTATAACTTTCTTTCACAATCTTTGACGGACAGTCATAAATGAGTCTCTTTTGCTTATTATAGGCGTCGTCTACTTAATACGAACTAATCGGCTGCGAGATAACACATAAATGTTATGAGAAAATGTTGTAAAATTGAGTTATGACCTAACAATACATTTTAAATATACTAATTAATTTTAATAGATATACAAAATATTCATCTTGTTCTTAAACAAAAATATATCAATTTAGTATAAAAGTTTTGTAATATTATATTTTTTTAATCTTATTAAAAATAAAATTGTTTTATTTAAGCATTTAAAGAATAGACAAAGAGGCGGTGAAGAAACAATTCAATAATATTAGAACGTCTTTTTTGCCTAATATTTTTCTTTAAAAAAGGTTGAAGTCTTGAAGAAGTTAGAGGATTAAAATTATGTAACATTATTAATAGATTTTTTTTAAATTAAGTCATATTTAAACATGTAATAAATTATGAAATATATATAAACTAGCAAAATTAAATTTTCTCTCTATTGAGATAAGAGCTAATTTAAGGTCAACAGACATTTTCCCGTGCGAAGTTTGCCTTAAAGATAATTTACGATTTGAAAAGTTTCAAAACGATAATTTTCCACCTACCGGTAAGATCGGTTAGTAAAATATGCTATTGACATGATACATAACCATAAAATCATTTGAATGGTTGACATCTTCTAATCAGTAATTTAGGGTTAAGTATTACTTTTTTATATTGTTCTTTATCTTAAAAATCCAAATATAAACTGAAGGAAAACAGAAACTGAACTAAAAATATACAAATATAATTCATTATTATCTATAATGGAGGCCATCTACATTATAAAAAACGCTATAAGATTCAATCATGGTGTAAATTATTAAATTAATAATTAAGAATCTATATTATAAAAATGTTCTTCCGCCCACAGAACAATTACAATGTTAAATTAATATGTTGTCTTAATCAAGTGTTTACTGTTTATATACCAATGCAATGTTAAAAGCTTTCCGGCAAATTAATTAAATTAAATCCACTGAGTCCGCAATTTTCTATCCAAATTCATTGCACTGTATTAAGACTATAATTGTCGTTAATTAAAAGTGTGATTAGTGTTAATTATTACTTGTTTGCTTAATTTCTTGGTTTGTCTCCCTCTAAAGAACAAATTATTAAAAAAGAAAAAGAAAAAAAAGGTGATTTTGTCTCACCAATCATGCAAAAACAGAATGGCCCCAAAATTAAAAGGTAGAGAGGGTAGTGGTGAGTATTAATATTTAATTTTGTTGTACCTAAAATAGGGGTTAAGCGTGCACCTCTTTTATAATTATTTAATTATGCATAATAATGTTATGATACCAACAAAAATCATGAAAACTTTAGGTTGAACACATGAAATGACACTGTCTTAAACAATATATTATAATGTATATATATTCAAATTAGATAATCTCTTCAAAAATTAAACCAGCCCTTAATTTTTTTTTGAATAATTTTGTATGGTAATAGGAATTTAAGTCAATAATTTTGAATAATTTTTATTGTGCTATAGGTTGCTTTCTATAACTCGTGAATTAATAATTCTCGTAATAGGAGCAGATCCATCTAATTTATCGATAAATTATGAAATGAAACTTTGATAAATTTTTCAATAGAACATTCTGGCTATCTTAGTGATATATGCATTAATTTGGAAGTGTGGCCACGAGAAAAGCCACATGTGACAGCTTTATAAGTTAATACCAAATAATATAGATGATCTCCATTGATAATACCTTCAAATAAAGGAACAATAATGAAGAGAAGACCATTGCATTGCCAGACTGAGCAGAGCTTTCATGTTGTTGGTACAGAAAGATATTCATGTCAGAAGAAGAAGAAGAAGAGGGGGATGAGGAAATTAACGAGAGAAGAGGAATTGGGTTTAAAAAAAAAAAAAAAAAAAACCAGACCGTGACATTAAGGCCACCAAAACGTCATTGATTAGAACTTGAAAGTTGAAACCAAAATTCGGAAGATTTAGGGAACCCAAAGTGGGCCCGTCAGATGTAGGTGGCCTTTTGTCTCTTCTTTGTTACTTAAGATACTTTGCATAACTGTATTTAAACATCCCAAACCACTGCATAAACCCACCAACAATGGACGCTTCACTCAATTTAATAAAAAATAGAAGGATAAATTCATAATAATAATATTTAATGACTCACTACCGACCATTAATTAAGATAAAAGATTTTATATTTTTCAAAATTTCAATACGTTTTTGCTATTATATCAAACTTACGAGGATTCGATTTCTTAACTCCTCTTATCTTAATGAGATATAATTCATTTAACACTAAAAAACATTAATTTTTGTGTGTCAATCATTATTGGGTCTAAGGTAGATGGTAAAAGGAGAATCTAATAAAGTTTTTCGAGTTTGAATTTCATAACCTCTAATTGGGATAATCATTAAATTTTTATCTAGTTGATAATTTCAATGTCTCAAGAGGACTAGTTGAAATATAAATGAAAAAAATTGGTCCCATTTGCCTCTTCTCCAGTTGGCTAAGCTTATTTTGTTTATGATGTATTTAATTCGAGAATTCAAATAAATTGTAAAGCAGCATATTAGGTGAGGTTGATGTCTAGAATGAACAATAATTGAAAACGTATAACGATGGAAAAAAACTTAAATTAAACATAATCAATGCAAACACAAAAGTACATTATGTTTGTGATTACGTATGTATTAAACTAAACCAGTTTGTCTCAATACTCAACTAAACAACATCATCTTTCAATTAGGGATCACAAATTTGGATACTCACATGTCAAAAATAACAACACAGTTTAAGTAGGTGGGGCTGACAATAATTGTTTTTCGTTAGCAAACTCAATCCGTGCCCCCACCTATTTAATAAAATGGGTTGATTTAACCTGTAACTATTTTTGACATATTTAATTATTTATGATGCAATTATATATATATATATATAGATTGACGGACCAAGTATTTTTGTCAAAAGAGGGCCTTTACAGCTTCGTCATTGTTTATCAAACAACTAATAGAAACTTTTAAAAATCACCAAACTTGAAGTAAAGGAAATAATACAATATCAAAAATCTGAAATAAAATAATTTAATAATATAATACTTTTTATTTGAATAAATCTATGAGAAAACAAACCTTGAGCAAATGTGTTAAAAATAACATCCGTTCACAAGAAAACACAAGAAATTTTTTACGTTCAATGTGAAGAGAATAAAAAATCACGCGAATTTAACTATCTACTTAAATCTATATAATCAAAAGAGCTTATAGCAACCACAATCTACCAAAAAATGCTTCACATAAATTTCTTATTTCTCCTCTCTTTTTTTTTTTATTATTTTTGTCTTCCAAAGTTATATTATAAATTTTTATGACTTTGATCAGACCTAGCCTAAGTTAAAATCAACAAAAACTTAAATCAAATCAACGTTACGTTGACTTTTATATGAAATAATTAAAAAAAGGCATTTTTCTTGGTATAAACTATATTAGTAACTCAAATTTCTTTAATAATTTTGAGTAGTTAAGCGTGACGTTTGAAATGTAGGAAATATAGGTGAAGAATGAAGAATAACGCCAGTAAAATACAGTTAAGGTTTATTGAGATAGCAGGATATTTTAGACACAAAACACAAAATAAACTCACAAGATTCATGTTTTTTTCTACATAATAGAATAAAAAACCTAAAAAAAAAAAAAACATGATTTAACCATAAAATAAACTAAATTGAAATGAGTATACATACCTAAAACTAATAAAACAAAAAACGGAACTAAGTGACATCTGAATAATAAAAGTTTCAACCATTTCAGTTTTTAAAAGTTTAGGACGAATAGCAAGAAAGAGAAAGAGGGAATGTGAGAGTAATGAATTTTGGGAATAAAACCATAAAAAACATGTAGAGTCGTGGAAAAAGTGGAGCGGTTTTAAACTTTTAATTGATGCGAGTTTGGAATATATATTAATAACAATTTTTTTTTTGGTTTATATACATATTAATATATAATATAATATAATATATATATATAATGTGTTATTAATTGTTGATACAATTTAATTAAAATTCAAGTAAATAGATTAAATTATGTCAATCATTTAATATTGTACAATATCTATATTGAGACTTCTCACATGAATAATAAAAGAGTTATCCAAGTTAAAAACTTAAAGTATATATAAACACGACATGAATATGATATGCGAACTCATTTTGCCTCATACCTTGTAATTGATCTCATAAGAATGAAATTATCACTATTATTCTCTCTTTTATATTTTCTTGTGTATAAAATTATACCTATATTTTAAAACCAAAAAGAAAAAAAGAAAATATCATTATTAATGTGAATGTAATCAAAAGTGGCTTGTCCCTTATTGGTTGTCAAATTGGGCCCAAAACTAAACAAAACGTTAATTCCGAAAACAGCCCATTTACTCTTCTCACCGCCGATTCTCAACCAACAAATACAAATTGCTAGTCCAATCATATGGGATTATATAAGCGGTAAACTCTTCTCATTAATTTTATCGTCAGCTCGCAATTGAGTATCGTCAACCCAAAAATATCAAATACAACGTGTTTAGAGAGACTTGATCAGCAGTTAATAAAGAAAAGAACGAAGGAACAGGTAGTTGACAGCTACAGACAATAAAGAAGGAAGTAAGAATGTGAACGATTGAGAAATGAGAAATGACAGTTCTCTGACAACAGAATCTTCCAAAACGTGTCAGTCAGATTTATCAACACATCTTCCCAAAATCTCTCGATTTCATTTATCAAAATGATCCTAAAACTTGAATACTGTATCGGCCCAATGCTTCTATGGTATGAAGGGCTGTCTTTTTTGTTTGAGTCCAAATATTTTGAATATTGGGCTTGGATCAATCTACATTGTTCTCCGTCCAAGTTTTTGTATCTTCATAATAATAAGTCAAAGTTTTTTGTTGGGATTGAATATTTACGTAAAATGTGAAACATGGAGTGACTGAATCCAAATGGCGAACATCGCAATTGAGTCAAGTACATCTCCAAATGTATAGCCACCGGAATCGCTTCCTCTACTTATTGCTTTAGACTCGCTATTCATCTCATCTCTCTAACCCATATTCAATCACTAACAACTTCATCATATACCTTTTACTTGTATTTCCACAGCTTTAATTTCGCACTTTCAGCTTCCTCATTGCACTGCACTTGTACGTACACTATTATTCATGGCACTCATCAAGCTGCTGGGATTAAAATCGGAAGCATTTCATCGTGACGGTCACAGTTGGAACGCACCTCTCTTTTCTTCCTTTATTTTGTTTAATGCAGAAATATAACTTATGGAATTGGTTTTGAGATAACACAAGTTAAAATGTTAATTGTTAACATGGCGCTGTTTAAAAGTGGATGTTTTGAAATTTTATTTGTTAGTGAGATTTGAACTACGTTATTTGAGGATCTATCCATTTTTGAACTTGTTAGAAAATGGGTTCACAGCTGATTCTACTATGATTTATCTGACATTTCTGGTATTTCACGTAGTAATTCGAGTCTTTGTGCTGTGATGAGGTAATAAACATCTGCAAAAAATTTGATGTAGAATGCATAGCAACTCCCTCAATAATATGTCTTGATGCAAATTATTGTTTTAACTGGCAATTAGTTTTGCATATTTAGAAACATTCTACACTTGGTGTAATAGAACTTTGTCATATATGCTTTGGTTTCAGGCTATGCGCAACTGGGCTTCCAAGTGACGTAACTATTGAAGTTGGAGGGATGTATTTTCATCTCCACAAGGTACAAAATTTATTTGCTTGAATTTGGTCTTCAATCTTCGTAATGATAGTCTCCAATGCACACACAATTTCATTTTCTCTGTCATTTTAGCGTCTTGATTGCTGTTTGCTAAATGCAAATACAACTTGTTTAGCCTAAACTATAAACTTTTTCCTACCAATTTTGGTTATCTTCTGTAGTTCCCATTGCTCTCTAGAAGTGGGCTATTAAAGAAGCTTATTGAAGAGTTCTGGAGTGAAAGTGAATCAGCTTGTGTTTTGAAACTTCATGACATTCCCGGTGGAGCTAAAGCATTTGAGCTTATAGCCAAATTTTGTTATGGTGTCAAAATAGAGCTCACTGCTTTAAATGTTGTTAGCCTTAGATGTGCTGCAGAGTTCCTTTGCATGACCGATAATTATGGGGAAGGAAATCTCATCATGGAAACTGAGGCTTTCCTTGATGAGGTTTTCGGCAACTGGGCGGACACAATGAAAGCTCTTGAAACATGCGAACAAGTTCTAACATATGCAGAAGAGCTTCACATAGTTTCAAGATGCATTGATTCATTGGCCATGAAAGCTTGTGCGGACCCAAGCTTGTTCAATTGGCCTGTGCCAGAAAGTAATAACACACACAAGACAGACGGCTTTGTCTTATGGAATGGAATATCGACAGTTGTTAAGCCGAATCCTATAGGAGATGATTGGTGGTTTGAGGATGTTACATCTCTTAGCTTGTCTCTGTATAAACGATTGATTTTAGCTCTTAAATTAAGAAGCATAAAGCCTGAGACTATTTCTTCATCCCTCATTTACTATGCAAAGAGATATATCCCTTTGATGAATAGGCAATCAAACTTCAATGAGACAAACCATGTCAACCTGAGAAGGACTATTTCCACATTGTCTGAGGTTGATCAGAGGGCTCTCGTCGAAGAAATTGTTGAATTACTTCCCAATAAGAAGGATGTCACATCCACCAAGTTTCTTCTCAGGCTGCTTCACACTGCTATGGTTTTAAAAGCAAGTCCATCATGTAAAGAAAATTTGGAAAAGAGGGTGGGAGCCCAGTTGGACCAAGCTTCACTTGTAGATATTCTCTTACCAAATATGGGTTACGTAGACACCCTTTATGATATAGACTGTGTCCAGAGGATGCTTGATCATTTCATGTCCTTTAACCATCCTGCAGCTGCATCATTTTATCCTTGTATAATTGAAGAGGGGCAACTAATGAATGGATCTGATTCACTGACACCTATGACAACGGTAGCTGGTTTAGTGGATGGATATCTCACTGAGGTGGCGCCGGATGTTAATTTGAAGCTACCAAAATTTGAGGCACTAGCTGCTGTAATCCCTGGTTATGCTAGGCCACTTGATGATGGACTTTATCATGCAATTGACATTTACTTGAAGGTGTTTGAATTATTCTTTCACTTCAACAAATTCAGTCAGTCAAAAGATCAAAAGTCTCATTGAATTTATAATTTACATTTCACCATTTCAGGCACATCCTTGGATTACAGATTATGAGAGGGAGCAACTCTGCAGACTTATGGACTGCCAGAAGCTTTCGTTGGATGCCAGCACCCATGCAGCTCAGAATGAGAGGTTACCTCTTCGAGTAGTCGTCCAAGTCCTCTTCTTTGAACAGCTTCGTCTCCGCACTTCTATTTCTGGCTGGTTCATCGTTGACAATCTTGAGAACTCTCAAAATCCTAGTGGAAACCTTGGACACCCTGGAGATGAGGGATGTCGGCAGATAGTCCCTGCTGAAGACCAAGTTGTGGGTCGTGATGAAATGAAGGAGCGCGTTCATGAGCTTGAAAAGAAGTGTTCGAGCATGAAACAGGAGCTTGAGAAACTTGTGAAGACAAAGAAAACATGGAGAATTATTGCCAAAAGATTAGGATTTAAACAGAAGTCGGAGCCATGCTATCCAAAAGAACCAAAGAGCTGCACTTTCAAGGAATCAGTAGCTTCTGTGAATGGAAAACAAAGTCACAAAGACTATGAAGCGGTTCATTGACAATGAGACTCAAACTGATAGGATAACAGCTTCTTGTGTATTGTTATTATCTTCTCTCTCATTCCTTGACTTTTCTATAATTGGGTGATTCTTGGTTGTGGTTAAAATGATGATCAAATTGCTGTATTTATTGTGTCCAAATTAGGTGCTAACTAAACATAATTAATTCATTATTTTTCTCTTGAACTTGATAGCCATTAATTAAATTAAATTGGCAGTTTTGCAATGTCCTTGAGTTTCCGTGCTTTGCATGCCTTTGTTTGTTGAACACTGAACTGTGCTATCTAGATAGGCAGGCTTTTATAAGACTAAATACTTGAGTAAGTCCGATGCTTAATTTATATTTTTTTAACAAATTTAGCATCGAATTGAAAACTTTTTTTTGTGTCTTGCTGTCTTGGTTAATTTTTTTTTTCTTCAGTATGCATTCTGTTGGTGTCGCCATGATTATCATGCTGCAATTACCCTTCAACTATCTTTGCTCTTTTAAATTCATATCATATATATTATTCAGATATTCTTTTGACCACTTAATATTTCTTGTTCATTTGTATCTGACCCTGAATTCCATTCCCTGCATTAAGATGACCACAGCTTGGATTATGATAATTTAGAACAACACAATGGTTTTCTCCAAATTCATGGAGAACGTGACGACACATTCATAATTTAAAAAAAATATATTTAATTTCCTTGATCAAATACTTTAGTACATATTGAGGTTTCAAGTAGTCCTAGTAATAATCTCATCAGTCAGAACGTTAGAATCAATGGAAATTCCCTCCGAAAAGAATCATCTGCAACTTCTGCAGAGCATACAAATATGAAAAGAAGACAAGGGGGTTAATCAAGGAAGAATAAATCTTTGTACATCATACATATTTAATCAACAGGGTGGAAGGTCCTTTGGTGGTGATAAAATGGATTTCCTCTGGCGACTTTCCATTCTCCACAACAAATTCCATCTTCAATCCCCACATAGTGTGCAGCTCAAGGTGACAATGCATAAACCAAACACCTATAAACGCATCATGCTCTTAGTAAATGCTTACAAGTATATGAATATTTGAATTCATTAATGGTATATTTTTGTATATGTGCACTGTTGAAGTGAATGCTAAAAACATCATCTTATTGGAGGATTAGTGAAACGTCACTGTTTGGGTCAGTTTTTTGAGGTGGATCCTGACCGTTGATTCAACACCAATTCAACGGCTGGAATTCCTACTTCAAGTCAACGATATAAAAGGGCGACAAATTTTAGGAACACCCCAAGTCCTCTTTCGAAGCATTCTCCTTTTTTTTTTTTTGTGTTCGCTGTTAGGGTTTGCAATTCTAATATGAATTTTGAGTGTAACTTGTGTGATTCTTGAGTAATTTGTGTTAATCATTCAGAGAAGAGTCGGATAGCTCTTGTTCTAGGGATTTCGTGGGTTAGAGTTTCCCTAGGGTCAGGTTACGGGTTGTATTTCAAGATTGTGAGAGAAGGATCTTGAGCTTGTTCTTGAATAGGGCTGTAAATTGTTGATTCAATATTAATAGTAGAGCAGTGAGCTCCCAATTTTCAGAGCTCGATGTGGATGTAGCTTGCTCGAATCTGGGGCAAGTGAACCACGGTAATTAATGTGTTTGTGTGACTGTTTTTTCTTTGGTTATTGTGTGTGTTTGTTCTTGGTTGTTTTTCAGATTATAGCATAACAGTGGTATCAAAGCATTTTGGTAATAAGTGTTTAGGAAATTGGATTCTGGAAATTAGATCTGAAAAATTCTAGGGTTTTTTTCAAGGTTGTCGAAATTTAGGGCTTTCTCAATTCTAGGGTTTCTTGATCTAATTAGGTGTCCATAATGCCTATATCCGAGTAAACTAGGGTCGATTAGACCAAGGGTAGAAAATTAGGGTTATGTTCGAATCTTGAAATTCAAGAACAATTTTGAGTTCTTGAGTTCATCAATTCCTAAACACCAAACCTAAACGCTACACCATGACAAACACCACCACTCAAATGGAGATCACCCAATATGATGAGAATATCGACTTTGAGAGTTGGAAGAAGAAGATGAAGGCCCTTGCTTTCTCACAATAAAGTCGGCCTCGCACTGGAGAAGGATCCCAAGAAATGGCTTGAAGAGAAACTGAAGAAGAAGGAAGAGATTGATGAAGAAGCTTATAATCTGATCATGATGAAACTATCAGACAACGTATTGAGGAAGGTTGATGGAATCAAAACCCCATTAGGGTTGTAGGGTAAGCTTGAATCTCTGTATGCTCTTCAATCTGCTCCCAATTTAGCTTTCCTCAAAGGTGCCCTATTTTCTTATAAGATAGACAGTAATAAGACCATAGAGGAAAACCTAGATGAATTTCTGAAAATGACCCTCATCTTAAGGGGAACCGATCAAGAATTAGGGGAAACCAGTTTAGCCATGATATTACTAAATTCATTAACTGATGACTACCAGGTAGTCAAGAATGCTCTCCAGTACTCCGGTATTGTCCCCAGTGTTGACCTAATAGTAGCAGGTCTTAAAGCTAGGGAACTAGAATTGAAAGTGCAAAAACAAAATGGTAACAACCTGTTTGTTAGGGGCAAACTAGAAACTTGCCAACTAGCTAAGGGAAACCAATTTAGTCAAGGGTCTAGAAACAAGAAAAGGGGTAAATGGAATAATAAATAAAAGTCTGAATCTAGGAAATGTTTTTTTTGTAACAAAACTGGTCATCTGAAAAAGAACTGTTTTGAATGGTTTAAGAAAAAAAAAATAGGGCAATACAGAGAGTAATATTGCCTCCACTAAAAGCTTAGTAGAAGAACCAGAGGTCCTTACAATGTCTATATTAGATAGTACCAAAGGGTGGGTATTAGATTCAGGATGCTCATTCCATATGAACCCAAACAGAGAATGGTTTCAGGACTTCGAAGATTATGAAAAGGAGACAGTGTTTATGGGGAACAACCATGCTTGTAGAGTAAAAGGCATAGGTAGTATAACACTCAGGCTTAGTAGGGGGGAATTGATAAAACTGACTAAAGTTAGGTTTATCCCTAAACTCAAGAGGAACCTTAAATGAAGCAGGTTGTTGCTACAGGGTTGAAAATGGGAGGCTGAATGTGTATAGGAACCAAAACCTGATTATGAAAGGTGAAAAAAAAGAATGGATTATATATCTTATGTGGTGATTTCTGTTCAGATTGTTTCAATACCGCCCTAGTCTCCTCAAACTTGTGTGTTATTGAAAAATGACACTTTAGAATGGGCCACATGAGCCAGAAAGGGTTAAACATTTTGAATAACCAGGGAATGTTTGGTAAAGAGTCTGTTTCCACCTTAGAATTTTGTGAGAATTGTGTTTTAGGTAAGCAACATAGGGTTAGCTTCCTAAAGGGAACACACCTAGCCACTAGCTACCTAGAGTATCTCCATTCTGATCTGTGGCGGCCTGAAAAAGTCAGGTCCCATGAGGGGAACAACTACTTTATGTCTGTTATGGATTATTACAGTAGAAAGGTATGGGTTTACCCTCTAAGAACTAAGGATCAAGCCTTGTCCAAGTTTAGAGAGTAGAAGTTACTTGTAGAAAATCAATTAGACAAGAGAGTGAAAGCCCTAAAAACTGACAATGGGCTAGAGTTCTGCAATGCTGAATTTGATAGATTTTGTAGTGAGCAAGGCATTTAAGGCATAGAACAGTAAGAAAAACTCCTCAGCAAAATGGGGTTGCTGAGAGAATGAATGAGACCCTCTTAGAAAAGGTAAGATGCTTGTTATTTACCTTAAGACTGCCAAATACTTTTTGGGGAGATGCCTTGGCCACTATAGTCTACTTGATAAACAGAAGTCCATCTACATCTATAAATTTTAAATGCCCCGAAGAGGTGTGGGCTAGGAGAAGGCCTGATTTAAGCCACCTAAAAGTGTTTGGGTGTACAGCCTATGCACACACAATACCAGGGAAGTTAAAGCCTAGGTCCACAAAGTGTGTGTTCTTGGGGTATCAAGAAGGGATGAAAGGATATAGACTTTGGGATAGAGAGTCACCAGGGGTAAAAATCATCATAAGTAGGGATGTAGTGTTTAATGAAGGGGTTTTCCCTTGCAAAGCTACTAACCATGATGCATGCAACCACATTACCCTTGAAATTACAATTCATTCCACTAAGACTACACCAATTGAGGTGGAGCATGTGGGTCAACAGGCTGAACCGCCTCAACTTGAAGGTGAACATGTCCCAAAAGCTCAACTAGGATCCAATGGTCCTGAATCAGAAGATGAAGAAGCAGCAACATATGTACCTGAACCACAACATGATCAATTGGAGCATTATCAACTTGCAAGGGATAAAATAAGGAGAGAGGTAAGGCCCTCTGCCAGATTTTCATATGCTAAACTAATTTTTACTGTTTTACTTGTAGGCACAGAGGTGCAAAGGAAAAAACCTGACTCATATGAAGAAGCTATGAGTTCCAAGGAGAAGGACCAGAAATTGATCCAATGTAAATGGTTGTTTAAGATAAAAGATGGTGTTTTAGCTACTGACCAACCTAGGTACAAAGCTAGGTTAGTTGCTAAGGGGTACACCCAACGCGAGGGGATAGACTTCAATGAAGTTTTTTCCCCCGTAGTCAAGTATAAGACCATTAGACTAATGCTCTCCATAGTTGCCCATCACAACCTAGAGTTAGAACAAATGGATGCGACCACTGCTTTCTTGCATGGAAATTTAGAAGAGGAAATTTACATGTGCCAACCAATAGGCTTTGTAGATTATAGAGTACCTGACCATGTTTGCCTCATGCATAAATCCTTATATGGGCTGAAACAGTCCTCTAGGCAGTGGCACAAGAGGTTTGACACTTTCATTTTGAGCATAGGGTTTACTAGAAGTAGATATGATAGCTATTTTTACTTTACTTTGAATGAGAACATGCCTATATATCTGTTACTGTATGTGGATGATATGTTGCTAGTTAGTAAGTCCAAGTCAAAGATACTTGAGCTA